TTGCAATAGGAAATGAAGTTCTTAGAGCCTTTATGAGAACCTTATCTATAGGTATTTGGATTTTAAAATTTATTAAAAAATATTATATATAATTTTGTTTTAACTAATCAAAAAGTTTTCTAAATTTATTTATTTTATGTATAAATGTGAGTGGAGTAGTTATGCACATGAGTCTAATAAAAAAATTTGTTTAAGCCAAGATTAATACTACGACACTTCAATTACAAGACACAAGATAGAAATAATGATTTTAATATTATAAAATACAATTATTGATAAGAAAATATTTTGATTTTAGTTAAATTGTTTATGAAGAAAATATCTAAAGTTTCAAATGTCTAACGTTATATTATTTACTTTTATTATTGTGAATGAATTTTTAGGTAACAATATTATTATATTTTTTAAATTTATTTATTTAAAATATAGTTTGTATCTAATTATAACAAATATGTGAATGTATTACAATACTTTTTCTATTTTTATATAAAAATCAACAAAAATTTATATCAATATTGATATATTAAAAGCTACTCATGTTATAAATTCATTCAGATGTTGTAATCTTTAAAAAAAATTCTATTATCATGATTATTAATAACACTTTATTATTTTATATTGTAAACTAAGATTTTAATTATTCATTATCATTTTATTATGAAAATTTCAATGATGTACATACCATTAAAAATATTAATTTTATAAATTTTATAATTTTTTTTAAGCTAGATATTTTTATCAACATATTTGAAACATTAGATATAACAAAATGAAAGAATAATATAATAAATTTAAATTATTTTATAATTTTTCTTTCTTATTTTATTTTTTAACTAAAATTATTTTTTTATTAAAAATTTATATGCAGTATTGTTCTTTGTATTGTGAATATGAATTAGGCTATGTATGATTAAAAATTGATTGGTATTATATTTCTTACCCACATTACAAGAGAATATTTATTTTATAACTACAATTTTCAAATATGAAAGTTGCTATAAAAAAAAATTGGTATCAATAATAAAGTAATTAGTTTGTTAATATAATTAAATATGTTGTTATCATTTTTTAATTTTAATCTTAACTTTAAATAGATTATATTAACTCTTTAATTTGTATATATTATAGATTTATTTAGAGCTCGACGTTAAAGATATTATTTGATTAATTATATTTGTATTATTTAACAAGTTGTTATTAGGATAAATGAAGTTAAAAAATTTAGTGTAATCTTTAAAATTATAAGTAAATATATAAAATTTTAACTTACTTAAAATTACAATTATATATGATGGATTATATAAATAAAAAAATGTAAAATATATACTTATTTTTATGTTATAATTTTTTTAAAATATGATAGTGATTTTTTGAAGTTGTTTCTTCTTAAATATTATAGACACTGCACTTATTTTTTAAGTTAAAATGAATATCCACTTAAAAAATTATGAAAGATAATTTAATAGCAAATAAAATTTTAAACTTAGTAATGCAAGTAATGAATAAAATAATATTACAATTTCATTATTTTTGTTTATAAATTTTTTAATATGAATAGAAATAATCATATTTTAATTGTTTCATATTTACAAGTTGAAAAGGAAGAAATTTAGCCAATATAAGTATAAAAACAACATAAAATGGCTTGGAAATAATAAAATTTTCAAGTGGACTTTCAACTATAAGAACAACAAATTTACTAAAAGTAATGAAAATTTTAATGTATAAATTATAAAATTATAATATATTATCAAAATTTTTTAAATCATGTAATAATTTATACTTTATATTTTAGTTTAAACTTGTGTAAGAAAAACAAAATATACTCGATACAAGATAACATTGAAAGATATAGAAGATTAAATAGTTTTCATTATATTATTATAAAAATATTTTTAAAATTTTGTATAATTTAAAAAATAAAATGTGATCAATATTTTTATGTTTTATCAAGAAATTTAGTTATGTTTATATTACTTTGTTATTATTATATATATTATCCCCTTAATATACATTTGTTATTAATATAATATTTGTCTAAATTTTATATATGATTCATATTTTATATATATCGATATTTTGTAATTTTAATTGATGAATAAAATTATTTAATCTTTTTTTTATCTTCTATTCTTAATTAAATATTTTTAACTATTTAATAATTTAATTATGATTTAATTTTAAAATTTTAAATAAAATATAATTAATAATTTATATTTAATATTTTTTCACAATATTTTTAATAAATATTATAGTAATGATTATAAATACTATTAAGAGTAATTAATTATAATAAATGAAATTATTTAAATGGTTCCCTTGCATTGTTTATGAGAGGTTGAATGCCTTAATAAGATAGTTTATTTGAAAGGGAGTGACTATCAAAGGACTTCATCTTATTAAGTGGGATACTATAGCTTTACCGTGAAACAAAGGTGAAATAGGGGTTAAGAGGTTTAGATATCAAAATACAACACTTATGGAAAGTCAACTTGGAGTTTCATGCACAAAATAGATTGCTTTCGGGGTTCAAGTTCTTCAAGAAAATGACCCATATAAAAAATTCTTATTTGCACTACATTATAAAGGGTCCATCATATAGATTTCAATATGTAAAGCTCTTAAAAGATGACCATGTTTTTCTTTTAGAGAATGACAAAACTTTATTTGGATTTAGGCATTGGTTGAAAGTTGGACCACTTTGTGAACTTGTGCCTTTTATTCACATTTCTTTTACGAATAAGACACTTGTTGACTTAAGGGACAATGACCTTTGCTTACACATCTTATATATTGATTTGCCTTCAAAATATGTAGTGAAATTGAGGAATTTATGCCTAGTCCTACATGCCTCCTATAATGATTGCTTGATTTGAAAATAAGTTGCGAACAATGCTAAATGTTAAATTTGCTTACAAATGATTTCTTGATTCCCATAGCAATTTAGAAAAGATCTCCAAGAGCTTCTTTTGGATTTGAAGATTATCAGCACTAGAAAAAATTAAATTCATTACTTAGCTATTGGTACATGATGCATTGTCAATAAGCACCATTCAATACCAATGTCATTTAGCCGCTTGAAACTTATGCTTGATATATAATGATTTGTCTTAAGATTTCTTACATTGCCTTAGAGATTGTTCAATGGCAAAACAATATTGGCTTAGGCTTAGATTTGAGAAAAAGTGTTCATTTTTCTCAATTCAAGATATTAATAAATGAATGAAAGTGAACTTGAATACTAATACAATATTATTTTATGTCACTGCTTGGTGTATCTAAAATGCAAAAAACAACATAGTATTTGCAAATGAGTGGATCAATCCTATTATAGTTTCATTGCATGTGGCTAGCCTTGCTTATGTTGTAATTGATACATCTAATCCTCCTCAAAGTGGAGCTAAACCTATGTGTATTGCATGACAACACCCTCCAATGGAATTCATTGCCTTAAACACAGATGAATCTTAATTTAAAAACCCTGATTCAACAGATTTTAGTGGTGTAGCGAGAGACTAACGTGAAAAGTAACTTTTTAGTTTTTATGACAATATTAAAATATCATGGCCATAAATTTTATTGGAAATTGAGAATAGAAAGATAATTTACATATCAGATTCAAATAAAGTTATAAGGGTGATAAATGCAACTTTTAACTCATAAAATAGACATTTTTATTCTATGATATTAATTTCACTCCTTTTTGTTTCTTTTACTCTTGTTATCAAAATAGAATAGATAAACAAATTATAATATTTAGAATAAAAATTAAGTTTAATTATTATATTTATTTATATATATAATTTAATTTGATAGTTAGTCAAAGTGTTTTATTTTTTTAATCTTTTTTTTACATTAAAAATAATTATTTGATGGTTACTTGATAAATAATTATTTTTAATATTTAAATTATAATATTTATTATTATTTTTTAACTAGATTAACTAATAAAAATATAAATATATTTGTGCAAACTCGTACGTGCAATAATATATTTATTAATTTTATTTTAAATAAACATGTAAAATCTAAAATGACACATAAAATATACTATTAGTTTAATTATTAATTAAATATATTATTTATTATATTTTAATAAATATTTTAAGACATTATAACAACACCAAAAAAATTAATTTATTTCAAAGAATGAAATATATTATTGTTAACTATCATTTATATATAATTATAATTATAATTATTTATTTATTTATGTATATATAAATATCTACAACTTATTGTTGAATACTCTATTATTTATAGTAACATATTATTACCATTATTAAGTGTTATAATGTAATTATTACATTTTTATTATGTGAACTAAAAATTCAAACATCATTGTATTTATAATAATTAACTTTTTTATTTAACATTTCATAATTTTTTAACAAATAATATTAACTTTATATGTGAATATATTGAAAAGAATGAAAGATACACAAATTTCACTAAAAAAATTACTTAGAATAAAGTATATTATAATATTTTTCAAAATACTTCTCTCAAACATTATCTAATATAACAAGTTTATTATTATTTAATAAAGTATAATTTCTTTAAATATACTTTTTATATTTAAATTATAATTATTTCTAAAAATTAAATTAAATTCAATGCATAAATAAATCTGTACAACATACAGGCTTATTACTTAGTAAAAACTTAAATTATTTTAAAATAGATATTTGATTTTTTAAAACATTTTTTGTCAATTAATATTTTTATTTTGTTGGTGTTGGCTGCAAATCCGTTTGTTTTTTGTCCAACGGTGGCTGCAGATTTCATGATGGCCCATTGAAGACACATTAAGGCAATAAAAGTCCAATTAGAAGCCCATTTGACTATGTGTTAACGACAGGAACCTTATCGGGGCCCACAACAACACAAACCTTAAACATCGATTCGATCATAGCATGCTGAAGATCCCAAATCACAAAACTGAGCCTTGAAAACAAAAACATCTTTTTAAAGAACCAATCCCACTCACAACTTGAACAAATAAACATTCAGTAATTCTACTCTCTCCAACGCCCTCACTTACTTTACCAATTGACCAAATTATATTGAAATAAATTAAAAAACAAAATTAAAAGAAAATTCAACAAAAGAAAAATCAAACCCACGAAAAAAATCTCAGTTCATCCAAATTAAAACAAAGTGAGAGAGAGAGAGAGTGATGCACACAAAACACACGCAGAGTCAGCCAGTGAGAGAAACATTTCATTTCATTTTAGTTAATAAAAAAAAACGAGAAAATTTAGAATCATAAACAAATGAAAAAGGCATTCTTCTGTCTTTGGATTTGGTTTTGTTTTTTAGCTGGCCCTCCTGTTTGACACGAGCATCAAAGGATCACACCGTTCGTTCATAAAAACGATAAAAAAGAAGAAAAACACAATAAGATTATAATTAATAATAATAAAAAGAGAAATGAAAAGGAATTATTATGAAAGGTGGTGGTGGAGTTATAGTAGTCAAGAGCGACTGTTGTTGTTGTTGGTTTATTATTTTTGTTTATCGATTATTACTACTACTCTTATTATTATTGTTATTGATATTGTTTTTTTCTTTGGTTTTTGTTCTTTTATTCTTCATCTTCATTGTTCTTTCTTTTCAATCCCTTATTACACGCTGCTTTACTCATTTCCATTATCTTTTCAATTTAAATTTCCTTGTTCATAATTGTTCTTGTTATTTATTTATTTTCATCAGAAGATAATAATCTTCTGCCTTTTCCATTCCTTGACTATCACGGAATTTTTGGTTTCTCAAGAGATAGAAAAAGGGGTAACAAAAATAAAAAATAAAAACGAACACCCAAATTGATTCTCTTTCGGTTGCCCTAATTATATTTTTCTTCTTTTCCCTTTGTGCTGTGTGCTTTGTTTTCTTCTTTTGCGGGTTCGTTCTGGATTCCTAGGGTTTGAAGAAGGGGGAAAAGGGTTCGATCTCGATCGATGGAGGCCGAGGTGGAGAACGACGCGATGAAGAGGGAAGATGCGGGTGATAACAGCAATGACAACAACAACAACAATGGAAGTAACAGCAAAATTGTGAATTCCAGTGAGGGTCAGAGCAAGCCCAAGCGCCAGATGAAGACTCCTTTTCAACTTGAAACGCTCGAGAAAGCTTATGCTTGTTCGTTCTGCACTTCTCTTTCGTTTTCAATTTTTTCTTTTTTGTTCAATTTTTGAGGGTTTTGTGTCTTTTTTTGGTTAGTGGAGAATTACCCATCGGAGTCGATGAGGGCGGAGCTGTCGGAGAAGTTGGGGTTGTCGGATCGGCAGTTGCAGATGTGGTTCTGTCACCGGCGGTTGAAGGACAAAAAGGACTTGCCGTCAAAGAAGCCTCGTAAGGTGGCGACTTTGCCGGATTCTCCGGCTGATGAGCCCAGGTTGGGTCCTGAACCGGGTAATGATTACGGATCCGGGTCGGGTTCAGGGTCCAGCCCGTTTACCCGTTCGGAGTTGCGGAATGTGGTGCCACGGGGGTACTATGAGTCACCACAGACTATAATGGAGCTTAGAGCAATTGCTTGCGTGGAGGCTCAGTTAGGGGAGCCTTTGAGGGAAGATGGACCTATTCTTGGAGTGGAGTTTGATCCGTTGCCACCAGATGCATTCGGGGCACCCTTAGGTATATTCGTTGAGCTTGTTTTGCTGTCTTTGACTTGGAAAATGGTTGTGTACTTTGTGTTTGACGAACTCTGTCAATGTATGGTGGTGTATTTTCGTTGAGTAAGGCAGCCAAATTAGTCCTCACAACTGTATGGGTCAAATATTTTAGTTCTTGAGATTTTAAAAATCTGTAGTGAGTTAGTCTTTGTTTTATAAAATGACATTTACTTTTAATTCTTTTTTAGTGCAGAATGACAGAAACAAAAAAGTGAACAAAAAGATTAGAACGAATAACTTTTTGCAAAATTAGGGACTAATTGAGGATTTCTAAAATTCCTGACCTTTACTATCTCTAGGACTAATTTAGGAATTTAATTTACTCATTTTCTTTTGTACATTCTGTTTGTAACTTGTAAGCTTATTTTCTTGGATTTTATGTTATACACCCAATTCAGCTCTTTACTGAACTTGTCCCATGTGTTCTGTTTATTATCTTTTTCACCGTGCATTTTTACTTAGGTATCATGATAATGTTGTTAACTAGAATATGTTGTTTCCATTTCTGACATGTCTTACATTTTATTTTGTTTAGTGTTATGGGTAAAGTAGTTTCTTATATGTTCTATTTTATAGTACAATGTGAGGAATGAAATGTTTCGTTTTTAGCGTTGCTTGCTTTCTCCTTGATGGACTTTTTGAATCTTAAAGTATGGTTGGTAGCAATACTATAATGTTTTAAGTTGCTGATGAATAATAAGTAAGCTCTCATTGTAGTCCCTAATATTGTATCTGGTTAATTTAGTCCCTAACTTTACCAAAACTTTGCTGTAGTTGCTGACTTTGAAAAACATCATTCATAATAGTTCTTATATTTATGGAAAAGGGCTAGCGAGAATGATGTTTTTCAAAGCCAGGACTAAAGTGAAGTTTTAGTAAAGAAATTAAAATGACCAACATGTAAAATATTAGTACTAAAATGAGGGTTTACTTGATGAATAATTGTTTGTGATGAATACACATGCCTTGTTTGACTAGTCACACTTCTGGTGTTTTCTTTTGGTGCAGCTGTTACAGAACAGCAGAAGCGGCCTAGTCTGGCCTATGACAGCAAAATATACGAAAGACATGATGTTAGAACCAATAAGGTTGGTTTTCTGTATGCTATTACTTCTTAGTGTTTGGGTCTGTAAAATTAGCCTTGCATTGAGGTGCATGTTTACCAAAAAGTGTTCTTCAATCATGGTTGTATGAGATAATTATCCGGAGTCAGGACTGCTACCCTTTTTAAATGCCTGTCCTTCATGTCAGTATATCACAGTATTCCTTTATTTCTTATACTATTTAATGTTTATGCTTTCACCTTTTTCTAAATGGCACGCTGGTATTACCAGCTTGAATTGTGTTATCGGGCATTGCATTACTTTAAACTCTAATTATTTGTGTAAAAGGAAGAAGATTTAATGTGGATGCGTAGACTTGGGTATCCACTTGGTATGCTGCATATTCTTTATTGGAAAGCTTGCTTTTATTCTAAGCATATTTAAATTATATTACTATACTGTTGTGGATGAGTATTTTAACTTTTTGATTGTTTGACATGATGTTTTGAATTGGGCTCCATTGCAGGCAATGGCAAGGACGTTCCCTGAATATCCTTTTCTTCCAAACCAGTCTGGCATTAGACCTGATGTTTTTGGACAATTGAGCCAAGCTCATTTACATGATCCAGTGGAGGGTCCTGCCAGAACTCCTTTTCCCCTTGGAAATGAACAACTACCTAGGATTCATGCTACCCCCAGTCATTCTTCTCGTGTTCGCCTTTTGTCTCAACAGGACAAGCAAGGGATTCCATATCCGTCTCCTCCTCGAGACAATGATGTTGCTCCCCAAAGGGAAGCTCACACAAACATAACCAGTACTGGAATGAACTCCCACTTTACAGATCACCCAATTGGACAAGAAAATCAGTATGCCTTACCTGGTGGACAAGTTTTCCATAATGATGCAATATTGCGGATGGAGAGGAAAAGAAAGGTATTAATGTATTTGTAACTTGTGCCAAGTATTATTTTATGTGTCATTTCCTCAGCTATATTAAGTTAATATATTATTTTTGCTGAGGATGATTTTGATTTTTGACTTTATTTATGTAGAGTGATGAAGCTAGAGTTGCAAGGGAAGTTGAAGCCTATGAAATGAGGATGCGGAAAGAGCTTGAGAAACAAGATAACCTTAGACGAAAGGTTATTTTTGAAATGAATTTAGCCTCCCACCATACATTATGTAGCGCTTAAAAAGCATCCCCTTCTCTTTAGCTAACCCTTCTAATTTCCCTCTCCCTTTCAGAGTGAAGAACGGTTGAGGAAAGAAATGGAAAGACAAGATCGTGAAAGAAGGAAGGAAGAGGAGAGGTTGATGCGAGAGAAACAACGAGAAGAGGAAAGATCAAAGCGTGAGCAAAGGCGGGAAATGGAACGCAGGGAAAAATTTTTGCTGAAAGAACATTTGCGAGTAAGTTTTTAATGCCCATTGTTTATAGCCTTAGTTTGGCTGACAATTAAACATCTGAGTATTTAATGAACCCTACTATCCTTACTCCTGTGGTTTACTTAAAAAAGGCTGAGAAAAGGAGGCAAAAAGAAGAGATCCGCAAAGAGAAAGAGGCAGAGAGGAGGAAAGCTGCCCTTGAGAAAGCAACTGCTCGTCGAATAGCTAAAGAATCTATGGAGCTTATTGAGGATGAACAGCTGGAATTGATGGAGTTGGCTGCAGCCAGCAAGGGGCTTTCTTCTATTATCCATATTGATCTTGATACTTTGCAAAACCTTGAATCATTTAGGGGTGAGCAATTATCATTGTGTTACTTTTTGTTATGTTTCATAGTTGGGTTTTTTTGACCTTCAATGTTTATCTGGAAATACTAAGAAAAAAAAAGAGTAAGATTCTAGTACTGATACACCTTGTGCTGTAGATTCATTGTGTGTGTTTCCACCTGAGAGTGTAAAGTTGAGAAAGCCATTTGCTATCCAACCCTGGATCAACTCAGAACAGAATGTTGGCAACCTCCTCATGGTATGTTCATGTTGCCACTCTTCCATTGTATTAGCATATATTACATACAACATAACACACCTCAATTACTATTATCTATTGTTCTTGTGCTGTTAAAAGGGGAAAGGAGGACTTTACATCACAGCTTCTGACAGTGAACTGTTTCATTTCATGATTTGAAATGTTAGGTTAATGATATTGAGGTTATTTTTACATGAGATGATTCATGTAAATGTAGTCTATGGATGTACTACTTTTTGTAGTGAGCATTTTTTAACATTTTTATTTTATTTTTAAATTTGTTTTTAAGCTTAAATTGAGGATGTGAATTTCAAGTTTAAAAGCTGAGGGATGGTCTATTTCAGGTTTGGAGATTCTTGATTACTTTTGCTGATGTTCTTGAGTTATGGCCTTTTACTCTTGATGAGTTTGTACAGGCATTTCATGACTATGTGAGTAAATATAGCCTTTTGTTAGTAATCTTGTGCTGCAGATGAACTGTATTTTTGTGCACCCTTTGTTCATTATGTGGATGTTTAAATCAAACCATTTGATTACAGGATTCTAGATTGTTGGGTGAGATACATGTTGCACTTCTTAAGGTGATAATAAAAGACATTGAAGATGTTGCCAGGACACCTTCTACAGGATTAGGGACAAACCAGAATGGAGCTGCTAATCCTGGAGGGGGCCATCCAGAAATTGTGGAAGGAGTAAGTTGAAATATTTCTTATATTTTTCTTTCTCTTTGAGACCTAAAGTTTTGTTTGAGACTATTGAATCCAATAATGTTCCCTTTATTATGTTCTAGGCATATGCATGGGGCTTTGATATACGAAACTGGCAGAAAAACTTAAATCAATTGACATGGCCAGAAATTTTCCGACAATTAGCACTCTCTGCAGGATTAGGACCGCAGCTGAAGAAAAGAAGTATTGCATGGTCATATGCAATGGATAAAGACGAGGTTCAATTTGTTTATTTTGCTGTTTAATTTTCAGCTCAAAAAATTCTTATGTTAACTGAATACTGCTATATTTTAGTGCCTATAGTCTGAAACATATTTGTTACGTTATTCAGTTTACTGGTTCTAGATGAGCTTTTTTATACCATTTAATACTTTCACTGGGTTTTTATAATTTTGCACGTGTGTTAGATTAACAATTTTTGTTGGTCTGTCTTTTCTTACATTAAGTGGTTCAAAATGGATTGCAAATGCAGGGAACAAGTTGTGAAGATATCATTTCTACACTCCGTAATGGTTCAGCAGCTGAAAATGCAGTGGCCAAAATGCAAGAGAGAGGTTTGTTAGCTCCTCGAAGATCAAGGCACCGGTTAACTCCAGGGACAGTTAAATTTGCAGCTTTTCATGTTCTCTCGCTGGAGGGTAGCAAGGGTTTGACCGTGTTAGAGCTTGCAGAAAAAATTCAGGTGAATTGTTCATCTGTGTATTGAGTGCTCTTTTTCAAACTGTCAGCTTTTGTTCTTATGTCTCTTTTTCTTTCAGAAATCTGGTCTTCGGGACTTGACGACCAGCAAGACACCGGAAGCATCAATTTCTGTTGCTTTGACTAGAGACACTAAACTTTTTGAAAGAATTGCTCCATCAACATATCGTGTACGAGCTGCATTCCGAAAGGATCCTGCTGATGCTGAGTCCATTCTTTCAGAAGCAAGAAAGAAAATTCAGATATTTGAAAATGGGTTTCTAGCTGGTGAAGATGCTGATGATGTTGAAAGAGAAGAAGAGTCAGAAAGTGATGAAGTTGATGAAGATCCCGAAGATGATGATTTAGTAAACCCTTCAGATGCAAATCAAAATTCTGAACAGTATGATGACCCAAACATTTGCTCATCAAATGGAAAAGAAAATTTGGGTCATGATGTAGACCTTATTCAAAATGAGTTTGATACAGATCTACCATGCTTTCCTGAGAATGGTTCCAAGGATGCTGATTGTCCCAGTTCTGTCACTGGACAACCTGTTGCCTGTGAAGATTTAAATACTGGAAATCTTGACCAAGATAATATGGAAATTGATGAAAGTAAGTCTGGGGAGTCGTGGGTACTTGGGCTTGCTGAAGGAGAATATTCTGATCTCAGCGTAGAGGAGCGTCTAAATGCTCTTGTTGCATTGGTTGGTGTGGCAAATGAAGGAAATTCCATCCGTGTTATTCTTGAGGTGAACTCTTTTCCATGTAATGTATACCTTCAACATGATTATTGGTTTTAGGTTTTAAGTTGATGTAAAGAGCTTTTCAGGATCGATTGGAAGCGGCAAATGCTCTGAAGAAGCAAATGTGGGCAGAAGCACAGATAGATAAAGTTCGTCTGAAAGATGATAATATTAGTAAATTAGATTTTCCATCACTTATTGGGAATAAAATTGAAACACAATTCACATATGCAGCTGGGGAGGGCAACCAAAGCCCATTGCTTGACATTAATATTAATAATGAAGCATCACCCAGCACTGCAGAAAACCAAAAAGGAGCTCCTGTTGCACAGAGCATGCCTATTGAGAAGTCCTCATCAATTCAAGAGTTTGGCTTAGTTGCAGGTCCAGACAACCCTCAGACTCAGGTACCTGCACAATATTCAAAAAGATCACGTTCACAGTTGAAATCTTATATTGCCCACATAGCAGAGGAGATGTATGTCTACAGGTCTTTACCCCTTGGCCAAGATCGCAGACGTAATCGATATTGGCAGTTTGTTGCATCTGCTTCTAGCAATGATCCTGGTTCTGGCAGGATCTTTGTTGAATATCATGATGGCAATTGGAGGCTTATTGATTCTGAAGAGGTAAATTGTTTGTTCAGTATTTTCCGTTTGCTGATATCTGTTTTGGTGATCAACTAAATTCAAAATTGATTTTGACATATTTCTTATATTCCAGTGCATGTTTTAGTGACCTGTATGCTAGGACACAGGAAGTATCCTTTTTAGACGTCCTAAGACATTTCCTCTCTTAAATTTATTATTTTCCCGTCAATATCTGACCATTAGCAAATGGCATTAGTGAGGATAGCCTCCGAAATTTAATCACCTCCCTATCTTTTTATTCATGGTAATTCTTTTATATGTCTTTCTTCAGAGTGTCATATTTCATTATCATCAATTTATTGGAACTGTCATGGAAATATTATTGAATTTGTGATTCATTTAAATCTATAGGTGTCAATGTTGTGTACAGTTTAATGTCTTTATACTTGGTCTTAATTGGTTTAATATTATATCTATTCTATGATTTCTATGCAGGCCTTTGATGCTCTTTTGACATCACTGGATTCACGCGGGATCAGGGAATCTCATTTGCGCTTGATGCTGCAAAAGATTGAGAATTCTTTCAAAGAAAATGTTCGAAAAAAGAGTGCACAATGTGTGAAAACTGCAAGCAGAGGTGAAGTTTCTATTAAAAATGAACCTAATGAAGCATATTCCATTGCTGACCGACATGATGGACCTGACAGTCCTAGCAGTACCCTTCATGGCTTGAACCCCGACACATCTGAAACTTCATCATCCTTCAAAATTGAGCTTGGGAAAAGTGAGAGTGAAAAGAAAGCTGCCTTGAGAAGATATCAAGATTTTCAAAAGTGGTTGTGGAAAGAATGCTATAATTCATCAATTTTATGTGCTATGAAATACGGGATAAAGAGATGCAAACCTCAGGTGGAGATTTGTGATATCTGTCTCAATCCTTATTTTGTTGAAGACTCCCATTGCAATTCCTGCCACCGGACTTTCCCCTCAAATAATGGATTTAATTTTTCTAAACATGCATTTCAATGTCGAGACAAGTTATTCAAAGATATTTGTTTTTTGGAATTTTCTCTTCCTTTGCGTACAAGATTGCTTAAGGTCCTCTTGGCTTTTATAGAGGTGAGTTAACGGTAACTTTATATTCACCTTGAACATTTTTTTCTCAAAAATTTTAAAATGTCTTTTGTACCCTCTTATTTTGTCCTTTTAGTTTGACTTTTGAGGAGTATATTGTATTCACATTTTGATTTACAGGTATCTGTTCTATCTGAAGCATTTGGAGCAAGTTGGACTGATGATATTAGGAAGCTTTGGGGTGTGAAGTTAAACAAATCATCTTCTGTTGAGGAACTTTTACAGGTTTCATGTCCATTCATTTAAAGTTTTAGCTGCAGATCTCTGCATTATTTTAAAAATCAAGAATATACACCTATTCAGAAATAGAAAAACAACCCATTTTGCACTTTGCAGATATTGACCCTATTTGAGAAAGCACTACGGCGAGATTTTCTGTCATCAAACTTTTCTACAACAGATGAATTGTTGGGATCAAGCAGTTTGTCAGAAAGTTCTGCACAGGCTTCAACTGATCCTGAATCTGTCACTGTGCTTCCATGGGTTCCACTAACCACTGCTGCTTTGTCTCTCAGGCTTTTTGAGATAGATTCATCCATTAGCTACGTAAAGCTTGAGAGACTTGAGCCTTGTGAGGAGAAAGAAGCGAGGGAATACATAGTGAGTCTCTCTCATTTTTCCTTTTTAGTAGAGTGCTTTTAGTCTTAAATAACTGGGTTTGATGTTATCTTGAAAGGTTTCTTATGAATAAACTGTGCTGCAACTTTGCATTTTCATTTCCAAAGGCTTAGCTATTGTGTCCAAAAAAGACTAGAAGCAGATTTAAATTTATGTTCCTTTTGTTATATTTTTAGCGTCTGGGTTTTTAGCTGGAAATCTCTCATGCTAATCTAATGAAACATTAATTCATCCAATTTATTTTTTGCAGAAGCTTCCATCAAGATATACTTCCATCAAGTCTAATAGGGAGGCTGAACCAGCAGAATTTGACCATGGTGAATTCACTAAAGATAAATCTGCTCCTAAGAAAATTGTACGAAGTGGCAATAAGCGAGGGCGAGGGAGTAGTGATCAAGGACGGGGTAAAAAGCTGTCTAAAAAAATGTACAATTCCAAACGAGACACTGGCCGCAGAAATGCTAAGGTCAGTGACAATTTAAGTCACAAATTAAAACAGCAGGCACGAGGTACACAAGGACAAGGTGCTGCTGGACGAGGTCGCCGAACGGTCAGGAAACGGAGAGTGGAAAAGAGAGCTGTTGAAGATTTGTTGCTGGGCCATACGACTGCCAGTCATAGCACCAAGATTGAGAGAGAACCATTGAGAAGTTTGGATGAGGAATGGGATGGAGAAAAGGCCAGTCCCATGACTCCTGTACACATTGGGGTTGCTGATAATAGTAACAGTGCCGAAGAGGTGGAATCCGATGATGACAATGCTCAAGCGGTGGAATATGATCAAGGAAACTGGGAGGTAGGATTTAACGGTGTTCCCTCCAACAGATGGTGTGGGGATCTGGTTGGAATGAGTGATGAAGATATGGATGCTTTTCAAGATGACAATGACAATGGCATTGAAGAGAACGAAGAGGAGGATTCAGAAGCAGATGTGATGAGTGAGGGTTCAGATGGCATGGCAAATAGGGTAGTAAATGTTGGAGGGTCGGACTCGGCTGTGTCTGAAGATTCTTCTGATTAGAACATCCATTTTTAATTGATCATTGAGGGGATTGTACCTGAAGGCTGCATTACATTTTTGATATTGCAGCTTTACAAATACCTGAGCTCCAAGTCATGTCACGGCTTGAAGTCTTGATGGTTGAGTAGATTTAGTGTATATTATCCATGCAAAATGGAGCCTTGTGTTTTTAAGGATCTTGAAGTAGAGGGCTTTGTAGCCAACCTCATTTTGATTTTTTTTTCTCTCCTCCCTGTAATAGATGCTCATTAATTAATAAAGCTTTATTATACCTTCATTATTGTTGAGATTGCAAATCGTTAGTTGGCGAGTTAACTTTGGTCACGTCTAAATTCAAAATGATATCAGACTTTATGGTAAATTTTATTGGGCCACTTCAATTGTCTTTAAAGTTACAGTTTTACAATGTTCCCGGGCATGAGGGGATAGGTTGAAATTCTGTGTTGATTATAAATATGCTTAATTGAGGGCTTATAAAAATTTGGGTAATTTTCATTTAATACGAAAGTTTTTTTAAGTTGAGTTAGGTTAAAGTCAAATTTAAGAATAATCTTTTCATTGTTAATCTCAAATGTACCAATTACTAATGTTAGTTAATAGGAGTTAGTACTATAGTATTTGCTCATGCCACTTTTCGGATTCATGAGTCAAAATTTATCATTTTCATTGTCTTTAATTCTTTGATGTAACACGCTTGATTCTCCGGTTTTAAGGCTTAGATCTGGCCAAATTCTGATATAGACCACTTTTTGAGAACTGATTTAGTCTGCAAGCATACTTTAAAAAATGTTTTAAACAGGCGATTTTTATTTTTTATTTTTTTAATGTTAGTGAACCTAAATTTATATGTGATTTAGTACCCTTGGTCTTAAGACCCTTTAAGAGAGTTTGTTACAATTTTTTTTTATACAAGACCTTCTGCAATTTGTTGCTTGCATCAATTATTATTATTATTTTTAACAAAATTACCCTTAGTTAAGACTATAAAAAGAGTTAGTTATAGGTCCTAATAATTTTAAAGATAGATTAAAAAAACATTCAAGTTATTGTGTAATTAATAAAGTTGACTACATTTCTTAATTCTTGTGAAACACTTAAAATGGTCTTATATTTAAAATCATACTAAATAATAGATTTAAGCCTATAAATAAAATATATATGACGTAAAAGATGTTACATTATTATTATTATTATTATTTAAATAGGTCAACTTGTTATGCCTAAAAGACTTTAGGAATAGTGTAAATTCTAACCCTCTTAGCTAAATAGGTTTTTAAAATAGGCTTAATGTGACTTATTTAATAAATAAATTTGACTTGACGTAGGCTCAACAGACTATATAGACTAAACCGTAAGACTCCAACGTGGAGCTTGTCCTATTTCTACCCTGGAGAGCCATTTTGTATTTAGGATCATATAGGAATGGCAAAGCGGTTCAGTTTGCCTCGCAAAAAACCCACCATAAAATGAGCTAACTCGCACCTGCCACTTTTTGTGGGTTAGATTTTCTAGCCAGTCAGTCCCATTTAAAATGGATCTATGGGCTAAAGTCCAATCTGCCAATGACAAATAAAAGATAAAAGAAAGAGTTGATCAACAATGCGTTAAAGAGTTGAGCCACCTAAAATTAATATAGAAAAATAAATAAATAATTAGAATAATCAATAAAAACATAAAAATAATTATATATTAAAAAAATTGATATTTAACTAAAAATAATTATATTTTATTTTTTAAAATTAAAAAAACCCAACGAATTAGACCACTCTGACTTTCTTTTAATGGGCTAAAATAGGGTGAGCTAGGTGACCCACCATTTCGGTGGGTTATGGAGGTCAGCCCATGAAACACAATCTCCTTTGCCACCCTTAAACTGCTAGTTCTCTTAATTTCAACTAAATGCACCCTAAAACCACAATCAAGTACTTTTTCGTCAATTGTAGTCTTCAAAATATTATACCTCAATTCTTAATCGAATAATGTTGGATTTTATTTGCGTGGACAACACTGATATTACCTTACACAAATCACGTTCACCTAAAAATGGATGACAAAAAAAGGTAAAAAGGAGAGCAAAACATATGACTAATATACACTAAATACACTCTGCAATGATTGCCATTTTTATATGGTGCCAGAAATTTCTTAATTCTGACTTTCTGCTGTGGCATCAACTAGGTCTGGAAATTCGAAGTTGAATTTGATCCTAAGGTTGCCCTTCTTTGAAGGATCTTTGGAAATGGGCATACCTTCCCCAGCAATCACTTCTTCATAATCTGAATCAATCACGTTGTTGATGGCAATGGTCAGAGGTCTGCCATCTAGAGTTGTAAGTTGGATGGTGTAGCCCGTTAGATCTTCAGCTTCTTGGTGTAATATCTTTTTTGTCACAACCAAATCATTACCATCTCTTGTAAATACATTGTGACATTTCTCATCAATAATAAACACAAGATCTGCAGCAATAACATTTGGCTGCACATTTCCTTTCTCTGGGAAAGTGATTTTTGTTCCCTTTTTCCAGCCTGGTTGGATTTCAATGTTTAATATTTCCTCCAAAGGTAGAGTTCTCCTACAAATATGTATAAAGGGAGAGAAATTAGGTCAAAGTGGCTGCTCTCTTAGGCACATAACAAGTGAAAGAAAAAAAAATTTGCTCCATTTTATGGAAAAAAAAACTCAAGAGTTCATCAGCCTGCAAAAACCATAAATGTAAACTCAATTACTAGAAGAAAGGCAGCAGAGGGTTTCAGGCTGTATAGTACTAGTACACATATGCCACAGCCGAGTGATAAGTCATAAAAGTTGAAAACACTGACCATCTTCACTTTCATGCATATCTTCTCTCTCAAGTAGTCAAGTGAGTTAGGTATTGATAGGGCAACCTCAGCCACTGTTTCAATGCCTAACTAAATCACATAATTAATGTTCTTAGTGAGAGTAATAAGTAATAACTCCAGAGCCAACCATGAGTTATGGCACAAATGCAGTGACCCCATCAAGATTGGATATTGTACACCAATCCTTATCCAACAAACAAATTTTTGGTTTAGCTCAAGGAGACAGAAATGTATCAAACTTTAGTTTTCAACAAGTCCAACAACATAACTCATTCTTCTGTTCATGAAATTTAGTTGCAAGATAGGTTGTATAAATTGTTGTAAATTGAAAAACCAAGCAAAGAGCACTTACCCACTTGCATGAGTGATTTCCCTTGATATTTTCATCTTTCTGGTAGTCCCCTTGTAGAGCTCTTCAAGGCTGCAAAGCAATGTGTTTTCAATGGGAGGTGCCTTGCGTCGTGGACCTTGATTCATGGGCCTGCCTTCCCCAAACACGTCATTGCCAAACATTCCACCAAAGGACCTTGACACCCACGATCCACCCCTTATGCCACTGCCACAACCACCATACCCCATTCCCATTCCTCCGAATGGGCTTGAAGACCCAAAAACTTCTGCAAATATGTTGTTTGCGTTTCTGGGATTAAACCTAAACGTTGTTGCACCGCCCCTACTTTGGAAGAAGGAGAATGGGTCCAAATCTGCATTTGATGGTGGTGGTCCACCTTTAAGGCCACCTTCTCCATATCTATCAAAAATTGCCCTTTTCTGGGGATCACTTAGGACCTGAATGAAACCAAACCAATATATTAAATCAGATCAGATTCTAAGCAAATTTCAGGCTTCATACAATACACCCCCCACAAAAAAACAGAGACAGAGAGAAATCAATAATTGATTTTCATTGTGTGTCTTATTTAATCAAACTTTAACTCCACTCTAACTATATATATAGCCCTTGCAAACTAGAGGATGCTTATTAGAAATCCCAGCTTAGGATTAACTGCACAAACCAAATGATCGATCGTCCATCACCTAACCAAAATTTCAAAATCTGATATTTGAAGAATTTTGTTAACGAGTTCCTAGTAGTCTTGGACCTTTCTTCGGGCCTCCTCAATCTGCTTGCCGAGAAAATTGAATCATGGCAAAATTACCATAGACGGAAATGAACTGAAATTGGGACCTTAAATAATATGGGTGTCCAAATAGCATCTTAACATGAAGTCAAACTAAGAACAATATCATCAATGTGTAGTCATAAGCTAAAATCAAGGCTTGGACTTGAATTGAAAGAAAGAATCAACATCATGAACAAAGCAACTGAAAGTGGGAAAAACATCCCTAACAGGAAGCTAGTAACCAGACACTCTCAAAAGCTGACCAAAACGAAAAACAAGAGAATCTGATCTAACATCCTCAGCTCACCAACACAACAAATCAGGCAAGAATGGATGGATCAAAAAAGGTCATGATTTTCCAGCAATTCAATTCAACTGAAGATGGTAAATCACAGGAACTTTATATAACAATCCTACCTCGTAGGCTTCAGCTATGAGTATGAATTGAGTCTCAGCCTCTTTTTTATTGTTTGGATTCTTATCAGGGTGCCACTTCATGGCAAGCCTTTTGTAAGCTTTCTTTAACTCTTCATCTGTGGCATTCTTATCAACCTCCAAAATCTCGTAGTAGTCCAATCCCATATTTCTTTTAGTTAGAAGCTTCAAACTTTGGACACTACTTCCTTTTCACTCTTCTCTAAAAATAGGTCTCTCCTTCGTTCAACCTTTTTGCCTTCTTGTTGGTTTCCAAATGTTCAACCCCGTGAATCTGATAAGCAACAAGTGGTAATCAGAAACTACTGCATAAGAAATTTGGTAAGTAACATTTTTTTATCAATGTGAATAAAATCTTGTACCAATTCAGATTAAAAAATGATTCTTTTTTTTTCATTTTTGATGAAAATGATTTAATCATATTTTATAACATTTACTAAATAATATTTATATTTATTTGTATAATATATCTCCATGCGATGCACGAGCTGAAAAGGGCCTGATGGAGACTTTGATTTACGATAAGGTACACAGAGAATGGGAACTCGAGAAGGAATTGTCCGCATTTGGCGCAATAATGCGCAGTTGCGCATCATCAAACACGAACGGTATAAACGTAACAAGAGTTTTAGATAAAGACATGCACTGCTAAGGTATAAACCTAATAATGAACAAAGTGGTTTAAGAATTTATATAAAAAGAAATAATTTTTATAAATTATTTATTAAAATAATACTTTTTATCACCTCAAGATTCAGTATCCCACAGGATGATACTTATTTTAAAAAAATTAATTTCACATATGTGATACACTTTTAATTTGACATATCTTTTGCATCAAATAAATTTTGTATTTCACAGTAAGCAATTTTATTTTATTTTTGCTAGAAAGGTGCACAACTTTATATGATCCAATTTATGTGCATTAAGAATGTTAGCTAAAGAAAGAGTCCACTAAAAATTGCAGTTTTCCTCAAAATTATAGAGGATTATGAAGTGATTTTAGTCAAATTTTGATTGTTAAATTCACATTTATCAGTTAGAGAGAGCAGATAATTTGAATATTATATTTATTAACAATTAAATTTTTATTTTATTTTTTTAAATATATAACTTGACTAAAGTTAGTTTTTAAAATTTACAATTTTAATTTTAAAATTAATAATTATCAATCACATTAGTTTTTATTGTTAAAAAAATATTAAAATTAAATAATGAAATAATGATTTATTACATTAACTAATATATGACAATTGATTTTAAATACAAAACGCTTGACTTATAAAATTTAGAAAGTTGATTTAGATAATTTTGCATATTTTAAAAATTAAAGTGAATGTTTATTCATTTATTAACGGATAATTTTTAACTAAAAAAAGTTGGATTGCTTACAAGAATCTATTTAGCTTAACTTTTTATCTAACTAAAAGCTCTATGTAAGCGACATTAATGAATTACTTTTTTTTTTTCACTGAAAATCAATAATTAGTTCTTAGTCAACAAATGTATTCAAGTTAGTATTTTTTTAATAGTAATTTTTTTTATAAATATTTAATTTGTTGTTATTATTTTATTATTTTTCAAGTTTAATTTATATTCTAAGAATAATGACAAAAATATAATTTTTTAATAATAATTTAAATAATAAAATATAAATATTTAGAACTTATTTGATATAAATAACATTATACAAAATAATAAGCCTTATATATATTAATTATTTTGTTGTGTTTATTTGATTAATTAGTAGTTTGGTTCTGTACCTCTTATTTTATTTTCAATTTAACCTTTTAATTTTTTTTATAAATATGTTTTAAGTTAGTTCTTTTCGTTAAATTTAACTAACAATGTTATTAAATTTGTTAAGATAAAATTAAACGTGGAATAAAATAATAATAATATTATTGTTATACTATTTTTATAAAAATGAACCACAATTTCCCCACAAAAGCATAACGTATATTGAAGTCAGAAAAAAGAATAGAGTTCATTATTATATGGTGACAAAATAAAAAAAAAAATCTTATAAATTTTTTAAAAATAATACTGTTGTTGAAGGTAAACAAAATTATTTTGTTTTTATTATTAGTTTTGAGATATTTATTGTTGTATTATGATTTTAGGTGTTTAAAAAATAAGTGTTAGAAAAAAGAGTTGTGTGTAATTGTTGTGTTGTATTTTTTGTAAGAAGAAAACTACTTATAAAAATGATAAAATATTGCATTTAATTTTTTTATTTAAATTTTTAATTTTTGAATTACTTGATCATATATTTTTTAACTTACAAATTTGGATGTCATCTAATTAAAATTAACATCTATGGCATAACTAAGATTAAAATATTACTACCTACTTAAAAAAATAAATTTTAGAAGACCAAATTAAATAAAAAAAATTATGGATCAATATATTAATTTAACTTAAAAAAATTACTTTACGTTACTTATTTATTATTTATATTCATAAAAATAAACTTTACCCTTTCCCTCTCTCTCTCTCCCAGATATATATTAGTTTTATTTTTATTAATGATTTTCCAAAAAGAATTATTTATCGTAGTTATTTTATTTTATATTTTCCTATCTTTTGAAAACAAACAATTTTATGAAAAGGACAGCACTTGTTTACAATATAGGAATTTGACGGAGGGTTTACTTGTGATTCTGTCATTCTGAAGAGGGAGGGTTTAGAAAAGGGTTTTCTTTTCCTTTGATTTTCTGAATCTAACGCACTCTTCTCCTTCGCTCGTTTGTTCGTTTGTGCTTGTTTGGAGATGGGAAGCAGAGGGCGCGGACGGGGACGAGGACGAGGTGGAGGCTTTTCTACATTTGCCACTCAAACTCCATTTGTACTTTACCCTGAGGTTTTCAATTTTCTTCATATTCATTTTCTTTTCTCTCTACTCAATCCTGAATCCTACGCTCATTGCCACTGTTAATCTTATGCTTCACTGCAGGATGTTACTTTGCCCGATGCTAAAATTGATGATATTGGTCCTAACGTGAAAAAGTTGCTTAGTTGGAGTTTTAAGCTTCAGAATTATTGGAAAGCCTCTCCCTATCTTCTCCAGGAGACAACCTCTAAGAGTAATCTTTTACCTAAATACATTATTGTGTTATTCTGTTACGTATGAATGTGACATTATCATACTTAATTATACTTCCATCATCTCACTATCTTTATTGCAGATTAGGGTTTCTGCGGCCACTAGCCTCCCTCTCAGAATAAGACACTCTGTGATGCTTCAAGAAACCCTAATCTCTCGTGCAGACCAAAAAAAAAATAAAAAATCTTTATTGTAATGTATATTGATTTTCTCGCTTTATTGTCAGAGTCTCAAAGGATGCACATAGCTAGATTTTCTGACAAGAAGAGGACCGGTTTTACTCGTGATTCTCTGTCGCAGGTTTTAATGTTCGATGATTTTCCTCAGGAGTTGGTTCAAGGTGTGAATAGTGGAATCGACTGTCAAGGCAGTGGTTATGAAAGATTCTCTTTTTCATTAAGCATTTGAGGTTCCTATTAACAAATGATTTAAACATAAATTGGTATTGTCAGGTTTGTCTAAGCGGATGAAAAGGAGAAAAAAATTTCGATGGAACCCAGAGTCAGGTTGCTTGATTTCACATTACCTTTCTCCTTTTATTTGGTATTAGCTATTGGTTATCTGCTAATGTGACTAGGTTTTGAGATTAGTGCACAATAAGTTTAATCTTCCTAAATTGGTCCCTCTCTCTTTAAAGAACTTTATGAAATTTTCTTCACTTGAGGATAGGATATATATGCCGTTCTACTGAGCAGTATATATGCGTATGGATTCAACATTCTATTCTAGATTGTAATATTATTGTATAATTGTTTGATTGCTTCTGCTGTTGAAACTGTTTTTTATTGGATTGAAACATTTTGTGGAACTTATGTGAGATATTATCTATGTCTACTTGGTGGATCCTTGTTTTCATATAATAATGATAAAGAGCCTTAGATTTGTTTTTAGATTGATTAAGATGCTTGTGTGACAGAGACGAAGACCATTGATTTCTTTGAACAACAAGAGGAAACAAACAAGGTATGGCACCTATGCTTAGAATTCTTTCCTATATGTGTGCGTGTGTATGTGTATTAGTCTCTAACACTTTCAGTCAATTCATTGACACCTTTTTAATTTGATGTTTCTTACTAAGTTCAATATATATTGTTACTGGATGGAGCTATGGTTTTATTGTGGCAGCAGTCATGGTTGCGGTGCAAGCAGATGTTGTCTGCACACCCAGATGCTGTTGCTGCTGCCGCAACTTAGGCAGATGTTGCTGTCCTTCATTTCAAACTCTGGTGGACTTCTTCTACTCTTTGAGGTTCTTTGTGCCACATGGAATTTGAACCTATGGTTTTAAATTTCAGGCTTGGTATATCTTTTAATGTTAGAATTTTAATTCCTAATAACATTTTCAAGGAGTTTAGCTAAAACTAAATAAAGACCTCTTCAATTCTTAATCTGATTGAAAGAAGCTGCAGTTAATAATAGGCAGTCTCTAACCCACCCATTTACAGTATAACAAGTTACTGCAGCACCAGTTTGCTATTTCCACAACCTCCTCTGCTGATTTTGCATTTGTCACTATTATTGCCACCCCTACCATTGTTGCAAATGTGCCACAACGTTTGCCACTCTACATCAGCACCATTGTTGTTGATACCGCTACTGCAAATCCCATTAATATTGCCTCCACCATTGTTGCTGTCAATTTTATTGGTGGTACTTTCATTGTCATTGCCACGGTCACTTTGCTGCCACTCTCCATTAGTAAACTTCAATGGGTGTTGAGCCCTTGATCATTAGTTTCAGGAGTCTGATTGCATTTGGTCTAAATGAACATTGTATTTCCTTTTTGATTCTAGTGTTGGGCTACCTTTACTTGTTCAGCGAAAATCTATGCTGATGATTCTTGCACCTGCAGGGCAAAGAGGATGCAGATGAAAAGAAAGATGGAGAAGATGAAGATGAAGATGAAAATGCAGAGGAAGATGAAGAAGATTTAAGTGATGATGATTATAATCAGGTTCCCATGTAACCTCTACTTTGATGCGTTAATTTTTCCATTCTTGGACTCTTGATGATTCTCTCTGCTATGCTATAATAGTACATTTTATTCACAAAAATTTACCCTGCAAAATTTTCAAGTTGAAGTCCAAGTTAAAGAAGGTTAAACTTAAAACTAAGCCTTCCCAGCATCAATTATGAAAAACTTGAACTTATATGGTTTCCCGTGTCTACATTAAAAGTTCAGTTAATTGTCAAGGGTTGAGCATGAACTTTAATATTTTAAAATTGATATACTGAAAACAACTATGAAGTTGATAATGGAAGCAAGTTTTTTAGCTGTAGCAGTATATCATCTTTCCCCTTTCTTTGTAGGAAAAATTAACTTTCTCATTATTATCTGGCCAAATTGGCTATCCACGTTACCCCCAACAAAAGTATAAAATTGAAAAGAGAAAAAGGGTAGGGTTGGAGAATAAAATTAGAAAATGAAAAGTTGGAAACCTCAAGGATGTGGTTTATCTTTTGCTTGAAAGTTTAGAAGTGGATTTCATATTAAACTTGGCATTTGTTCAATTGTTATACATAATATGCTCTACCCCAGTTGAAAAGTAAAAAACAGAAAATGATAAGAGTAGGGAATGAAAGAAAATTAGAAGTTGAGGATTGTGAGGGTTTGGTCCATCTTCTTGCTTTGAGATTTGTGAGGTTTCTTTTATGTTGTAGAAAACTTGGCATGTGTTCAAATGTTACATGCATATTGCACATTTTCCTTTGACAGCAGGTGGTTGTATAAACTTGTTTCAGCGTTCAATAAAATTCTTCGTTTGGATTTTGGTTGCTTAGCTTGATTTGGTCAGGGCACATGGGAGTGACATGTTACACCATGGAATTTTTAACTGTTAGGGTCTGGTGGTAGTAGTTTGAAGATTTATTTCACTATTTTCCATGTTCCTTGTTTTAGAGTTATGAAGCATATGGTTGCAAAGCTTTGTGTTTTCATTTTCTTGTTAACGAAAAAGTACAAAATGTAAGTGTCTAACTTGCTGTCAAAAAAATATTGGTGTCTAACACAATTAAACTCTTGCAGAATGAATATTTTGATGACGACGAAGATGATTATAATGACGTAGATGACGGGGATGGTATTGTCCACTTTACGCTTCCAGTGCATTTCTTATATTTCATTCATTTGAATCATCTTAATCCAAATGCAATTGTGACATACTTTAGTGTAATCAACTTCTCAATTCTCCTGTTCTACTATTATTTTATACGTAAAATTTCCTTTATCGCAGATGAACCTATCTATTAAGATATCTATAAGGGGAGTGATCTTCTGGATCTTCTGCTCATCCTGTGGCAGCTATACTATCATGGACTATTGCTTCTTTAGTGTTACAAGTTGGGAATTCAAATTCTACGTTAGCCTTTTCTGGCTTTTACTTGGCCACTATTTTTAACTTATTCAATTACATACCGGTGTCTTCCTTCGTCCTGTAAATGTTCATTTTGAGGTACACCGCTTGACCAGGAAGAAAATATTGTTGGTAGAAAAATTGAATAATGATTTCTTTTAGGTTCTATTTGGACAAGTAATTAAAAAATTTAAGAAATTTAAATTTCTATTATTTTAAAATATTTTATTTGAATAGAATAATTAAATTTTCTTTATTTCAAGTATTTTTGTTTGAATAGAGTAATTAAATTACTCACATTCTTTTAAAAAAAATAAAATTATCACTATATTTGACAAAACTAATTAAAATTATAAAAGTTAAATTATTAAATTAATTATAACTAAATAAAATGTGAACGAAAAACAATTAAAAAAGTAATTTTAAATTTTCACTTTTTTGTTAAGATTTAGATTTCTTTTATTTTAATCTACTAAAAATCTCATCTAAAATTTTTAGAATTTTAAATTCTTTAACTATCCAAACAATAAATTTTAACCATGAAATTATAAATTCTCTAAAAAAAAATTTGCTTAAAATATCTCTTTCTAACGCAGATGTGTTCTCTTTCTACAACTAGATGAATAGGAAAGGGAATAACCAATTGGAACACGTGATTTCAGTCCTGCTATAGTAGGTTTCTTTAGACCTATTTTAAGAAAAAGGAATGATGATGCATTAAGGTAAAGAAGTCTCTAAATATAGAACACTTATAGAGTACTTAGATTAACTGTTTCAAGAAGATTTATGGAGATTTTAATTTTGAAAGTACATTTAATTTAATTGAAAATACTAAAAATCTTGTAAGTTCTATTTATAAAATCATTCAAATGCATAATTATATACTTTCATTTATTATAAGTGTGGATGGATAATTTCTCAAATCCAAAAGCGAAAATCTTATTCGTTGCAATTTATTCTATATTGTTCGTTGAGTCTGAATACAATTATCATCCCTAGTTATTGCCGATTTAAGTTATATTACTCAAATTTTTTAATTTGCTAAATCCCCCCGCCTTCTACTTGATTTGGCAATTAAATCTTCAAAATATATTCCTCTACCTTGCTTGTTTCTTTGTCCTATATATGTATCAAGCTTACTAATGGAATCACAATTTAACATGTTTTTTTGGCAATAAATTTGAAAAAAACCTCACAATTGAAAGAAAAAAATTTCAAAACTTTTACAATTTTTTTTTAATTAAGCTGCTTTGAATACAGACATTTGAAATATCAATCGTAGTAGATTATTTGGTTTGTCTCAATGTTAAACGGGGCTCTTACAAGGCATAAGAAATTGCGGAAGAAAAATTTTCAAGTAGACCTTTGAAGGTAAATTGAACTTCAACATAAATAAGGTAAAATTAACCGACGCTTGGACAGACGCTTTATGTCTGTTCTCTCACAAGGCATACACATAAACAGACGCTTTGACATGTTCATAATACAAGGCTTGTGATAAATGTGAAGGAAAAAAAAACCTGAATACAAGAGCAATTTATTGCCCTCTTGGGTCTTGGGATGTTTCTGACTGACAGCAATTTTTCTACCGTAATGTATGTTTCTCAATCGTGTCATCTAACCATGGCTAATTGGATCGACAACCCTTTACTCCTTCCTTGCTTTGTATTTACTATGTAAGAGAAACGGGGCATGATAGGTATATTTCTTGCGAATTAGCTCCTTATGTCGTCCTTGTTTTTAATAGTTACAGCTATTACGTCCAAAGTTTAAACTTAACATGACACACCGTAACCACAATATATTTTTTTAGTACTCTGTATAAACCATTTTGCCAAAATATAATCCCAACGTAATTTGGTCGGTGTGGAACATACATATTACACGCAACCTACACAAACCAAAGGCCATCTAAAATAGAAGGGGAGAAAGAGAAGTATTAATGAGAGCAAAATGAAAGTGAAGACTATACACAAGAAGATACACTTGGGTGCTTATGGCGCCAGAAGTTTCTTGATTCCCACTTTCTGCTCTGACGTCAACCTTGCCGGGAATTTGATGTTGAATTTGATCCTAAGGTTACCCCTCTTTGAAGGATCTTTTGGAATTGGCATACCTTCTCTGGGAACAACCTCTTCATAGCTTAGATGAATGACATTGGTTATGGGAATGTTCAGAACCCTGCCATCTAGTGTTGTAAGATGGACAGTGTAGCCTGTTAGAGCTTCAGCAAGTGATACCCTTTGCGTCACAACCAAATCATTACCCTCTCTTGTAAACACGCTGTGGGGTTTCTCATCAATAACAAATACAAGATCCGCAGCAATGACATTTGGCTGCTCATTTCCTTTCTCTGGGAATGTGATCTTTGTCCCCTTTTTCCACCCCGGTTTAATTTCAATGGTTAGTATTTCTTCCACCGGCAAAGTTTTCCTGTAAAAAAATGTAGTGATGGTGCTCAATTTCTCCTCAGTAATACAACAACTAAATTTTGTAATCAACAAAAACCACCTATGAAAGCTAAAGAATAAGACTAGAATAGTGTCACGTATTAAAAACAAAATCCACAAACAGAAATCATGAAAAGCTTGTAGTAGAATAAATTGTAGTAAAGCACTTACCCACTTGCATCAGCAATTTCCCTAGAGATCTTCATCTTTTTGGTAGTACCCTTATAGATCTCCTCAAGGGTGCAAGGTAATGTCTTTTCAATGGGAGGTGCCTTGCGTGGACCCTGATTCATGGGCCTCCCTTCTCCAAATGAACTAAATATATCATCACCAAAGATTCCACCAAAGGACCCACCTCTCATGCCGCCGCCACCACCACCACCTCCCATTCCTCCAAATGGGCTTGAATACCCAAAAAACTCTGCAAAAATGTCGTTTGCATTTCTTGGATTGAACCTGAACGTAGTTGGGCCATCTCCACTTTGGAAGAACGTAGCTCCACCAGCATCCGGAGGTGGCACTTGCCCTTTAAGCCCTTCTTCTCCATATTGATCATAAATTGCTCTCTTCTGAGGATCATTTAGAACCTGCACCAAACCAATGCACCAAGTCAGAATTCTTTGTTATATTAAACATCCTAGTCCTAGCATACGTACATTACATAAAAGAGATTTCGTTTTGTTTGCATACACTTAAAAGAACAAAACCCAGAAATCAATATGAATGATCTAAATTCGGCATGAACTAAACTTGAAGGAAGAAATGAATAACCTCATAGGCTTCAGATATCTGTTTGAACTTAGTCTCAGCCTCTTTCTTATTGGTTGGGTTCTTATCGGGGTGCCATTTCATGGCAAGTTTTCTGTAAGCTTTCTTCAACTCTTCATCCGTGGCATTCTTGTCAACCTGCAAAATCTTGTAATAGTCCACCCCCATTACAATTCTTATTCTGAGCTCAAAGTTGAAACAAACTACGGAATTATATATTGTGCCAGCACTTGCACTTTGTGGATTATGGCTTTATGGGAAATGGTTCGAAATTTTTGATTTGATGAGGCAGGTTTCAGTGACGAATATCATTATTAGTATTGTAAAGGAATGAGAAAGAATTGTCTCGAAGGTGCGCCATGCACCACCAGATAAGTGTAGAACATTCGAGGATTATACTAGGATTTGTGGAGCATTGTGATGTTTTAAGGTGCCACCTGTATTTAAATGGACCCACAATAGTAGCAGCCACCTCGTGTGTTGTTTCCGTTTGACGGCTGTTTTGATATGCCTTCGCAAATGTTGCATATTCAATTTTTGGAACAATCTTAGTTTTTATTTTTTATTATAATTTTAAGAGATATATACAAATTAAAAATAAAATTAGAGAAAATATTTATGTATATAATATCATATAATGTGTCAGTTTTTAATTATTTAAATAACAGCATTTTGTGAATTATGAATAAGAAGTTAATATACTTTTCAGCTTGCTTTATATATATATTTTCATTAAACTATAATATTTTTATTCTTTAAATTTTTTTGTTATATAGTTCAGTCTTATCTTTTTTCCTTTCTTTCATTCATTCTTGTGCTCTAATTAAAGTTTTAATTTGGGGTTAAAATAGCTTATTAAACTTGTGCACGTTTTAAATTTTTTCTTCATATTTAGTCGGATTTCACCCATCGAGAGGTATGGAGAAATTAGATAGCGTAGTCCTCGGTGGGCTGGGAGGCAGGGTTGATTTACAAACCATACCTGAAAATTCAAAATTCTTATTCTTAATTCCAACATAAAAATCAAATTTAATTATATTATTAGTTTTTATATTTTATGAATTTTAAGTTTTTTATAATTTTTAATTAGATCCCTAAATTCAAATTTAGATCAATTCCCCAAATAAAGATGAGTTAACATGTCTTATGACTTTAACATGGCCTTTGTATAATAACATAATAATAATATTGTCATGACTGCAAATGCATAGAGTCTATTGTCTATTCTTTTTCACACGACAAATGTGATTCAAATGTGACCTCTTTCTCATGTTATCTTACTGATTGACATGATTATTCTAATTCTAAGGTGAGAATGCAATCAACATAGCATTGAATTATTTTAAGCATCACAATCAATGAGCATTTCGTTTTTGGTTTACTTTTCAAGTTTAACGTTAATTTTTTTTTATACTACATATTAAGATGAAATATTTCTTATCAGTTGAGTTGATTCACGTGATTGGTAGTTGTTGATGTTCTATTCATTTTAACCCTTTACTAGTTGATATTATTTTAATAAAAAAATTAAGAGTAAAAAAATGCAATCTTTTTTACGTACTAGAGTGTTTTATTTTATATTAGTAAAAAATTATATTTTCATAAAATGGTGAGATTTTGCATGGAAAAGGTTGGGAGATTTATTATTATTATTATTTTATTTAAAATAATTTTCAAAACAATATAGAAATATTTTAAAAATTATATAATTAATAAAAAATATTATATTAAATTATTATTATTATCATAAACATATTTTTTAATAGAAATTATTTTTTTTAACTTTCTTTTCATTTATTCAAACAAGTTAAATAATTTTTTTATTATTTTTTCTCGTATTTCTATTCGTTCAAATAACATATATTTTATTTATATATATATATATATATATATATATTTTTTTTTTTTTCACTAGATGATTTTTTACTCATTTTCTATTTCATCTACATGTACCATTAAACTTCTAACTTCACAAAGCTCTTATTTTGTTTTATTTTCCTTCAAACTTTTTGAAACATTTTTAGTTCTTTTTATCACCTTCCTCTCACCTTTTACATCAATTTCTCTCTTTTCTATATTTTTTTTTGCACTTCAATATAGTCAATTTTCTCTCAACAAAAATTTATTCTTATAGTCATTCTTTGATCCTTTCGTTCACTTCTACAAGTAAGAGTATTAACGAAATAATACTTTTCATAAGTAAAGTGTAGTTGATTATTAATCATTGATCTTTTTTATATTAAATGAAATACTTGTTAATTATTGATATTTTTTCATGTTAAATGAATGACTAAGATTTAATGGTTAGGTAGATTTTTTAAGTGATAACATGTTGATGAATGACAAATTGGTAAATCTCCACTTCTCTTCCTTCATCTCTCTCCTTTCCTCCTAACCTCTCCAACTTCTTTGTTGCTCCTTTTGAGGGAATGTTTCTTGTTGGGAGTAGAGTAATAGCAAACTTGTTATCGTTCTCAATAAACTAAATAATGCAATAAGACAATTGTTAGTGATAAGAGGAACTTGATTTGGGATTGTGAAGAGGCATAAAAGCCCTAATAGAAACAACTAGTGCTCTTTTTTCATTGGCAATGCAAAACCATTTATAATACCACCCATATTTAAACTACTCATGAGTAAAACATACAGTGCTCTATAATGTTCTACGTGTAGTGTGCGTCAATGACTTAATAGAAAGCTTGATTAAAATATGCATTGTTTGGCAATATTAGAAAATAGTGAAAATTTTTGCAATTTCTTGCCTTTAATGTCTTAAACTTTGAAGAGATATATAACTTTTAGCATAAAATTCTGACTTATGCAAATTACATGTTTATTTCATACAACTTTTTGAGATTTATATTCTTGATGAGAGTTAAGACAATTTTTTTTTTTACCAAAACTTCAATTTTTCTAATTTTTTTGTATTTTTTAATATTTGGGGTTTAGGGTGAAAGAGTTCTACTATTTGTAAATGGTCAACAGTGTGAATCAGAATTTACCAGCGTGTTTGAATTCTTGTCATTTTCTTCCAACACAACTACAATAAGCACAACAAGTGAGTTTTTTTTTCTTTTTGATACTGCTACTTGATGTTACTGCAAATTTTATCCTTTTATATGCACTATAAATATAGTATATACTCATTTGTAATAATGTGAAATATTGATTAGAAATATCCAACACACATTATACATATCATACAAGGCTGACTAAGATTTTCAGTCGTTTCTTATTTATCTTTTATACATAGTACTTTTTAACATATTTAAAGTTCTGTGATCCCATCATTTGTTGAGTGTTAAGATTTATTAAGGTGCAATACTCATTTGAATATGCTTCCAGAATAATGAAAGGTCCTTCTCACTTCAGTGCCCACTTTGTCATATGTTGATTTCTCATTACTACATCAGTTGCTTTAAGCATCAATTCTCCTACTACAACATTCATGGTCTCACTAGCTTAACATATGCCATTCCAACCATTTGTTGGAGTTTCATTATCTCATCCTAGACTTGATTTCTACCATCTTCTGCTAGTTTAGTTTCAATGACCTAATTTTTCAGTTGCTTTAAAAGGACTCTTGTTGAAGGTGTTATAAGTTTTGTGACCAGAATTGCTTTTGCACCGTATACTAACGAAATAGGCATCGCCCTCGTAGTCCTATGCTTGATGGTTTTGTAGGCCTACAAGGGGAGAGATAAATATTCACTCTAATCTTGGTGGTTATCACTTACCATTTTTGCAAGCACCTTAATCAAGATCTTATTTGTTGATTCTGCTTGGCCATTGTATTAGGGGAAATATGGGGTAAATTTGTCATACGTGATCTTGTAGGATTTTAACATGCCTTAGAATTTTTTATTTACAACAAGGGGATCATTGTCTGATATTATACACTCCGGCAATATAAAGCAACAAATAATGTTATTTCGGATAAAGGTTATCACAATTTCAAAGTTTTCTTTTTTATTGCAATCACTTCCACCCACTTAGTGAACTACTCTATTGTTGCTAGAATCAATCTTTTATCCCTGAAAGATGGACTTATTGTTCCCACAAAGTATAACTCCCAATACGCAAAAAGGGTATGAGGAGTGGATACTATGCAATTCGGTTGCAGGAATGTGTATGACATTTCTATGTCGTTGGTACTCCTAACATTTTTTTGACAAATTTTATTGCATCTTTCATTGTTGGCCAAAAGTATCCTATTCTGAGCAATTCATATCATAGCGCATTCCTTCCTTGGTGTCTTCCACATGTTCTACGATACATCTTTCCCATTACTTAGTCCTCTTCACTGCTTCCAATACATAAGAGATTTTCACTTGTGAATGATTTTTTTGTATAGCTCCTATTATACAAGAAGTATCTTTCTACTTTTTTTTTATCGTTTTGTGAGCTTCATTTTTTTTCCAATGACAATATCCTTGTTTCCAAATATTCTTTTATAGGGTACCTTCAATCTCCTTCTACCATATTTACTTCCATGTTTTCCATATTTTCTTGGCACTATTTGCAATTATTCTAAAAGGTGTGGTGTAACATCCATATTTTATTTAAAATAATAAGAAAATAATTTTATAGTTAAGAAGAAAAAATTAAATTAAATCCATTTGCCAGCCGAATATAACACGTGAAATTATAAAATGTTTTGTTTATTTTGCTCAAACTTATAAAAATTTAAATGACAAAGTAGTGGAAACCAAACCAATTAAAAGGAAACCTGAAATAACATTAATATATATTGTTCTAATGAGTTTACAAGAGTTTCATAATTACACGATATAACTTAAAATACATTAAGACTCATCTATATTCTTTATAAAATACAAAATATAATAAGTCCTAATGAGCAGTCTGTCAACCAAAAAGACTGAACACGATCCTAGTCGTCTCCATGTCATCTCTCTATTTTCGCAAGGTCTTCTGGGTCAAGATAATCATATGATCCAAGATAAAAATCACCTAAATCTACAATAGCCTTCATGCCAGTAACTCACTCAAAAGTCCACCGAGTTAGTCTTCGAGATGATTGTGATCATGGTATGTAAACAGGTAGGTCACAGTTGCTGGAGTTTTAACTGTGCCTTAATAGAAGTACACACATAGGGTCTAGTGGATCCTATTGTTGATAAGGAAATCTAAAAGCAGACTATAATATA